GTTGGAATGAACTTTAATCAAGTCTACGGGGTGCGAAATGTGAAGAGAGAAATAAAGCAAATAAGTGGAAATGTAGAAGCATTTACAAGTGTGCACCGCATAAATCCTTCAAGGAACACAAACGTAGACCGCAAACTTCATCAGAAACACCGCGACGCACAGTTGGAGCGGAACGTGGTATAATACCATGTTCGCGAGGGGATTAACTAGAATTAAGTCTCTTAAGGTAATAATTAACGAACATAGGAAGCCAATTAGGTATAGATTCGTTGAAATTTCACAGTTAGGCAACTAGATGAAGTTAGATACGATTTATTTACAAAAAACATGAACGTATTCGACTTCATCAACTGTTTTTCGTATTCAGTCTACATCGTCATGTAGAAAATCTACGTTTCAATTGTCAGCACGTTTATGTAATCATAATTTTCGACTTTTATTCTCTCGTATTTTTGCAGGCGTTGAGCTGTTTGTTTTTCAGTAGAACAATATTTTTACTGACATGATCGACCAATGTTTGGTTTGATTCCGTATAACACGGCTATAGTAGATGCATCTATAGTCATTTGAGTCTTAATTGCTAAATAATATAATTCGTCATTACTTGTTTTGTTTCTGAATGTAATGCGTTGTTGAAAAACGACTCCGTGGGCAGACAATAACAATGCGTTTACCGACAGCGATAGTTAAAGGGTCGTTTCGGCAGAATGTCGTTCGAATACCGACGTCACGTTTAATAAAACATAAATAAATGTTCCTGGCAAGGAGAAATTTTGATCGATAAAAACTAATAACTACAAGGTAAGGCCATATTATATATAGTGGTCGCGGCGATGGTAGAGTTATTCTACCTAACCTACTCAGTTATTCTTCTAAATAATAAAAAGCCGGGACGTTTTTGTGTGTGTGTATGAGTGTTGTGCGTATTAAGGTCGGTAGTGGTCTAAAGGTGGCTTTCAATGCTTCCTGTCTTTCCTCTTTCCTGCTACTCAATGGTCAAACTCATGATATATTCATATTCTACGTCTGAATTCTCGAAAAGCATTCATACACACACACGCACAAACATACACAGTGTATATGTTATGTTATGTATGTGTTTTACACACATACACAAACGCACCCGTTAACTTCAACCACAACACCAAACTTTGCCATTTTATCCATCCCGTGTTTCACCATACCCCTTCCTTTACACTATGACTCATCGTCCATCCATATATAACCAATGTTCAAAAATTATCGAACAGCTATACGTCGCCATTGTCGTGACGAATACACAATATCCGTGCAATGTATGAGAAATACGTGTAAATGCATTAATATCGATGACCAACGCTATTATAAAGAAATCTTTATTGTAATGAAAATAATTTTGATTTAAAAGAGTTAACAAGAGATCCAGCCCATAAAAATATAACATTCATTTGGTTCAACACATAAAAAATATATGACAATGTCATATTATGTCACAAATCAGCCTCTATTTTTAGGTGAATCCATACACAAAATGTATTGTCCGAAAATAAAAGTGTTCACTATGTATTCAAGAAGTGTATGCCTACTATATACTAATAAATAAGACTAATATGAAGATGTTTTGCAGGAAGTCAGTTTAAGCACGACAGCTGACGAGGATTTAAATGTATCTAATAAAAGGTAAATTATATAACCCACATTAAAATAAATAATCTATTAATAGTTTTCAGATTTACATCAGACATAAGTATATTTTCAGTTTAAAAAATAATAACAGATTGGTAGTTACAGTTAATTACAATGTGCAATTTTTTTAATAAAAAAAGGTATTACTAAATTTTTTTATTGACATTGTGCTTAAAATTAAAATCATACAGAAATGGGGTAGAAGGGGGTTCTATATCATATCTTTGTATATTAAAAAATGTGTAGTACAAATTTTTATGAAAAATAGGAGATGACATGTCCTATTCTTAAATTTATACTTGATATTGCATTAGAATTTTACAATATACGAAATTAAATTGTGTACAATCCAAACTCATTACACTAAAGCAGAACGGATTTGTACGTGAATTATTGACTTCTATCATAGATAATACAAAGTATCATAATCTTTGATAAAATATTGCTTTCCCTTAAATACCTATTATGTAAAATTCATTATATTTGTTATCTTTTTCACTCTGACAATAGCTACTATTTAGAATTTACTCCCCGTCCCGTAAGTTATTTCTCTTACAATCACCTGGTTTCAATGCAATAATTATATTTTACTATTTAAAACAAAACTTAAAAACACAAAGAGTTTCAACCGTGTGAAATTTATTGTTATGCGTTTTATAATGGATTTACAAAATGTTTAAAAAGAACGCTTTTGTCTATTGAGATATCTGCATTCTTAAATCTCATAATTTATTAAAAAGCGTTTTGAAAAAAAAATTAAATTTTCTATTTCACGGATAATCGCTTGGGGTGAAAAAAAAATTTGAATAGAGAAAATCTAATAAAATACCTTATCTGTGTTTTAAGAAAAACGTAAGATTGTAAGAATGTAAAAATAACAATAAATATATATTGTGATTAAAAAATAAACTTTAAACGACCTAAGTAGGTGTTTTACTGAACATAACACTACGATTAGTGTTTCGTCATGTATATACTATGTAGAAGAGATATTCTGTTTTTGTCACACACTGTACATTACAGTAATATTTGTTCGTTACATTCTATTATTTTTATCGTATGAACATTAAGATGGTTGGAGGGAGCATTTGTTAAATAGGTACATTACCTGAAAAGTTGACAAGATTGCGTTGAAATATACTTTAAACGTTCCGATTTCAACTCTAAAAGTATGATTGTTCATTGAAAATAGTTATTGAACAAAATAAAAATAGTTAACGGGAAGAAAAAATTTTTTTTCAATATATATGTTACGAGCAAAGCATACAATTTGGGCATTTTATACAATGCCCGGGCATTTTATATATTGTCCGGAAAATATATAAAATGCCCTTCGTATATAGGGCAATATAGATAACAGATGATATGATTTAATGAAATATGATAAATCAATGAATGATGACATGTATTTATATTATTGATTAATTCATTTCAGTAGATATAATTAATTGCACCACCAATCCTTTCTTGGCTTGTTTGATAATATTACGTATTTTCATTATAAATCGTTAAGAAAGAAGGTACAGAAGGAACACATTTTTTAAAAGACTCGGAACAGTTGAGTGAAAAGAGGCATCTGAAAACAAATATACAACGAGCCCTATAAAAATGTTATTGGTAAACGCAGTGTGAGTATCTTTAGTATCAACAAATTAATTGCGTAGTAAACAAACACTTAACAGTAGTCTAACTAGGACTGGATCGTAGGGAGAGGATCAATTTTTTTGTCACAATAATAAATGTATACCTTTTAAATTTTTTTTCCCACAAGTTCTGTATTAGATATAAGTTTGCAATGTGCTGAATTTTTGCTCTCTATAATTTATTTATAGAATCACTTGATACATAGGTAAAGGAAGTCACATTTACCTAATCAAAAATAAGTACAATAATTTAATATCGTGGACAATTTTAAACTATTAGTTTTTGTTTCAAAATAACTATTTAGAAAATAATTAAGCCAATTATTTAATCCTAAGGACACCTATATCCGTACCATTCTAAGATTAAACCATTAAGTAATTTATGTAATGGTCCCCTTATAAGTGGTCGGGTGAATAGGTTAACACTTCGACAAACCTATCTTAAATTAAATATTTTTTCTTAGCAACCCTTAATCGTTTTTGGATTTTTAAGCAACTTTAAGTGTACAACATAAATTGTAGTTATTTTGTGCGTATTTACTAAATATCCTTCATGACGGCTGCAAAAAAAATGTTAAGTACAACCATTGTTACTGATCGCGCCGGAGGCTCTCTGCTAATAAATAATTTCGTTCTGAACTTTTATCATTCTTCACCTATTTCGAAAATTTTTCGAATAAACCCGAATCCGTACTATTTTATACTATTTTATATTTGTTGAAGATTAGAATGAACACTTTTTTCTTATACACTTATACCTAATTAGAAAAAAAACCAAGAACCAATATGCGACACATGTCACTAATCATTAACTGTCGATCACATAGTGGAGGAGTGTACACAATATATCTCAATACGCACCGACCTGAACATGCCATCCAACATGGCAAAAGTACTTGCGAAAAACAAACTCTGAAAATTGTCTTAGTACCTAGCTAAGTACCTATCTTAAATATTATTAGTAAATCTTAATTTTACACCTAACTTCACCTATATAATATGCCATATGAAATATTGTAATTTTAAATTTAACACCTAATACATCTAATATGTAATATCTAATAGCTAATAATATCTGTTGTTGAAGCCTTCATTTAAAAAAAAAAAAAAAAGAATGAACAATCAAATTAAGTAATCGTATAACGATAGCCCGACTTAATCCATAAAACTCATTTACTTTTCATATATATATATTAACTTGTGAAATCTATTAATTTGTGTGAAATTGAGCTGAGGTGGAGGTATATCGTGTGAAAACAGTCCGGGACAAATATCGCACTAATTTCTTTTGTGTATAATAACATATACTTTTTTCGGTATCATTGCATACATTTTTTTGGTATCATTACTTATAACAAAAATTAAATATTACCTAGATACCTAAAATATATATATATATATATATATACACAAGTATATATATATATATATATTAATTTATTCAGTTATAAAAGCACTTATACAATGACATACATTAAGCAATTTTAACTTTTTTATTTGGTTTTCGTGGCTAACAAAGTTGACATGAGTCGCGAAAAATCTTTGGTAAGAAAAGTGGGTGGGAGGTTGAAAAAGGTTCAAGACCACTGGTCTAATGCATGTGGCAAAAATAACTTTTGGAAAATGCGTTTTACTCTACGTTTAGAGCACGCGCGCGTTGTTGCGAATTAAAACGAACAAGATAAAGCGTACTTGTGGCCGTTCAACGTTGTCAGAGCGGTGGCGGCTGCTGCGGCCGCGGCGATCCTGTTCGCGTTACCGTCGACGTTCTGCGCCTGCGTGGGCGACAGTTTGGCGGCCAACGCGTTGAGCGTGTGCAACATCTCGACCGGGTTCCGGGACGCTGGCCAATCGGGTCGCATGGACGCGGCGTCGCGTGGCCGCGCACTGCAACGGCGGGCTTACGAACGCGTGGACCGGCCAACCGGATGCCACACGTGCGGCCGGACGTAGACGTGGACGGACACGTGTCCCGCTGGTGGCGAACTCGACGAGCGACCCGGACGCCGCACGAAACAAACGATTCGTAGTGGCACACGGCGTCGTTGGACCGCGGTTATGTTTCGGGCGTCCTGCGGAAAAAACAAAATACAATTCCGAGATGTAATATCTATAACGCATCATCATCATTATTAGTTTAATAATATCGTGTGAACCCAAAGCCGACATATATACTGTTTGTTCCCGTCAAAGACTAAATATCGACGTTTACTACTATGATAGTTCTAAAAATTACTACAATATATGCGTGGACTAAAATAATAGATACTATGTACAAGATAAAGTGAGTAAATACTGTTAAACAAAGAGTTATTAATTATTTGCAGGTCGTCGACAAAAGAAGAAAATAAATAGTAAAATAACACGACTACATATGATACGGTGTAATAGTAACAAAATATACAAAGTAATAATGACGTTATGTACTGCACACATGTAGCTTGTAAAAGTTTACTCGCCAACAAAACCAAAATATATATACAGGAACGACAGAGTACCGTACGGACGAATACAGTGGATACCTTGTCTACATGATGACGGGATTAAGGCTCCGGGAAACACGCACAAGGTTAAAACCATTTGATTCCGGGTCTGATAAAAACTAAATGCGGTCAAAGTTAAAAAAATTATATCCCAAAAATAAAGTTTTATTGCTTTTGATTTTATTGCGCGCCACAGACCCTGGGGATCTGCAGCGGGTACCCCTCGAGGTATTTATTCTAGTTTATATTTTTATTTTTGCTTCCGATGGCATGAGCACGCTGCACGAGACTTTATTATTTGTTTATTTATTTATTTCTATGTGCCCAATTTTTATTGTCACCACCACCGTCACGCGTTTTCCATCCATATAATAAACATAACGATAAAAATGAAATAATGAAGAATACCGTCCTCGCAGGACCAGGATACTTGTTTTGCCATCGCACCTCCGCCATCATTAATAACGCGCATCTTCAAAACTGTTGCGCATGCGGGTGTGCATGTGAAAGATATAGGGATAGATGGAGTGAGCAGCAGACGTACATATATATCTTTGAATAGCGATTTTCACGACTGAATTGGCAGATATTTACGTGCGTTTCAAAGACATCTCGTATTTCAATATAAAAAAAAAAAATCTTAAAGAATCCAAGCTACTGTTGGAAATACGACTACTGCAAAATATATTTATTATTTCTTCTTCTTTGACATACTTTCGCTCCCACTGCAAACTTCTCTATCTATTATTCTTTTTCTTTTTTTTTTTTTTTTTGTCAAATTATACCTTCAACGCAGCTCGGACTTTTGTTTTAAATATGTTTTTCAAAGGAACTCTGTTCTCTTTTTTGTTCAGCATCACAAAGGTTGCATGACATTTAGAGAATTTTGAAATGCAAGCAAAATGTTCAACTTATTGGTCAATAAGAAAAAAAAACAATTTTTTTAATCGGTTGTAACTTTGATGATTCACTTTAAATCTACATAATATAAATTAACCTCATAAGGTACAATTTTATTTGATCAAATTTTGATTATCATTTTTCCTATAATTTAATAAATATATATATAGGGTACCCTTAAATAATTTTTAAATTGCAATTAATAGATTTTACTTCTTAGAATAAAATAAGTGCATTATAGTTTTATCCATAATAATTTCATGTGTTGTTTATTGAGTTTATAAATAGCTATACGTAGTACAAAAATTATTCATTAATAATTGATTTAATTGAACTGATATATTGTAAATTTAATTTTAAATGTTTTTTGATTATTGTTTAATAAAAATATTAATACACCATTGCCAATACGATACACCCATGTATACTCATAAGCGGAGATGTTCCAATAAATTTTTTTGCGAATATACTCCGTCGACGAGTGTCTGAATGAACATGGTTGATTTTATAATTTAGACGAGGGTGGTGGAGGGAAAAAGGTGTAAATATTAATTACAAATTGAAATGCGTATATCTTTATTTTTTATTGAAATTGATATTTAAATAATTTAAATAAATTGATACCTTTGTAAATACATAGTAAAACGTCAATAATTAGTAAAAACCTAATGTCTATTGCAAAATAATGCTTAAATTAAACTTGTAAAATTAATTATAATTCATACTTCTCTTCAAAGTGCTTGAGACTTGAGAGTATACGTAGTATATCGGTGAATATTTATAATAATACTGAGAGTATATGGCGTATATGTAATATCCCTTATGGGAACATCACTGCTCACGAGACAAGCTTACTAGTAGAAAAAATGAATGTAAACAACAATTTATTTCAGTTTCCTCAAATATTCTTCAATGTGTGGAATTTCAAGATGAATTTCAAGAATTTCAATGACCAGAATTTTGTTTACCCCCTAAACACGTTATTGTGATAACTCAAATATTGTTGTTATATAATAAGATGAGCAGAATTATTTTTATTGTTTCCTGGTTGCGAGTTGTTTCTGTGCGATTCAATGACATTTCTGACCACATAAACCATATGTTATTGTCGCACCATTCGTGGTCCATCGTGTTAGGCATCAATAACTGTTTCCTATTTCCCACATGACCCGAATAAACGGCACAATGTACTTTTTTCTGCTCTATTTCTTTTTCCTTCCTCAAGTTCTAATTTCGGAGCCAACAAATTATACAACGTATTCGATGAAACGGAGCGCAATAATTATCATACCATAAAATCCCACAAAGATGAACGCGTCGGTCGTTGTTCACATCCTCGATACAGTTTTTTCCTTCCGATGAACCGAATATTATGCCTTAGTTTACGAGGCTGGTGAACTCACTGTTTTATTGCATTATGTGTATCCAGAACTTTCAAATAATCTCCGGAAGACAATTCATTTAATTTTGACGAACAATAAGCAGTAAATAGCTACCATTCTTACGATCGTGGTCGTGTCGTCTGCTGTTAACGTATATACGTCGTCAAGAGAATGTTATCGTTTAGTGATTATCACGTAATGAAACTTTTTATGTTTAAAAAGTAGCGTCTACGGTTACGATTTTTTAGATCAAATGGCTGTCGTACAAATCTTTCATCGCGTATTTAATGAAGTGTAGTTTTTAAACACAAATCGTAAAATACGTAAAAATACGTCTTGAATACGGTTTAATTTTTGAGAAAATAAATACATTTTTTATTGACAATTCTTATGAAGTTATATGTTTACACCGATAATATACTATAATAATCGTACGTTAATAAATATTCTATTCATTTTTTTTTTTTTTTGCGAATGATTAATAGCACTTAGTATGTATATTTGTGAACGTCAATTTTTATAGTTACACACTGTTAATATTTTACATTTACACCGATTCGCGAACAACGCGTGTAATAAAATCCATCATTCATCAATCATACTATATAATATAGAGGAAGACAACTCTTGAGCGATTCTGTTAATTAAAAATGTTTACGTTAAAAAATTTCGTTGTGTCAGATAAAAACAAACTTGTTATATATATATTTACTTTTTTTGTAAAATAAATTATAATGAACAACTAAATTAAAAAAAAAAAATAACAAAAAAAAAACCTGATCGGTTCATCAAAACAATATGTGTTCGTTATCCGCACACATAATTTCCACCCTTTTCCGTTTTACCACAGTTCCAAATGTGCCCCGTGGAATATAATGATAATAATAATTTAAGTCACGCCGTCATTGGCTTACAATTAAGCCCCAGTTAAAATATTATGGAAAATATAATATGACACCGAGAGTCAAAAAAAAAAAAAGAATAATAATATGACTTTAATGAGAAGAATAACTTTTTATAACATATATTCGTTAACTTTATTAATAATAATTATCTTTAATGTTGTTCGTTTGTTTTAAAATATTTTAGTGTTAATTAAAAAAATATTACAAACGCTTGAATTTAATAAAATATAATAGATAATATTTTGATTTTTTAATTCTTTATGAACGCTAAGAAACTATAAATATAATATTGTACTTTTATAATTAATTTACAAAAAAAACTTTCTAGCATAAAATATACGAAAACTTTGACACTTCGGAGCCGAAAAGCCGTTTCGGAGTATCGACTGTTTTTAAAACGGTCAATTTCATGTATCAAGTAAATCACCTTGTGAGACCGATAAAACAACCAATTTAGTTTTGTGCGTGTGCGGTGGGCAGGGGTAGCAGTATGCAACCCGAACGCAGTTTATTGTATTTATTTTATACATTTTTTATAATGATTTCTGAACTAACCATAGGAAAAATGACATCTAATATTGTGGGTGTATACGGTTGAAGTTCATAACTAATTGGGAAAAGAAAAAAAAAATACAATTTTACACTGTATCATTACACTTTTGACAAGGAAACATATTTTACCTTATAAACATTCGCAATAGCCGACCCGAACGAGCGGCACAGAATATTATTATAATGAACGGACGTAGAAAAAATATAAATAGAGAACGAGAGAATATCGCATTTCCGGTGCGGCTGTACAGTCGCGGGTTGTTTGCTGTTCATAACACATTAATGTGGATAATAAACGCGCAATAAGTTGTGTATTACAACATAACAATTTGTTGAGAAGCCGACCAAAAATCTCCTTCGGGACTGGAAACATACCATCGCACGCACGCGCACGGTACATATAATAAACCCCAGAGGGATTTCTGCTGGAGGGTCTAGTAGTGCGAACAGCGGCGACGGGAGGAAACGTCCTTGCACTTATCTAGCTTCGAAAAACATTCTTCGGCCGTTACAGACTTACGTACGCGCTGTTGAACGAAAAACACTTATTATACAAATGTTTAAGGTCAACACGACAACTATACGAGGTTCGAACAACATTCGAGATATTTTCCACTCCACGCGTTTAGCTCAAAATGTTGTTATTTTTGCGCGCACGTGAAAACGAAATTCGAATATTCGCATCAAGTACGTATGTAGGGTGGAAGCAGGCTCACGAGGTCCAACTATACATACGTTCCCGTTTTTTTTTTCATAACTGCCCGTTAAATCCTATCTTTCATAAATAAAATGTAAATTAAACACTATTCATTTGAAAAGTAAAATTAGAACTAAAACAATAGTGAATGAT